TCCGATTTCCAATTAAAATGAAACGAAAAAATTGGGATTCCATAGAGTTTTAGGATCAGTTCTTTCTTCTACCAGTATTCTAAAGAATTCCAAACAAAATTTGTAGGTTCTTAGGTCTGGTAACATGCATTAGCTCGTTGATCACAATAGTGTTCTTTTATTTTGAATTCCTTGAGGCTAATTATCTTTTTCTAGGTGTTTAATCTATTGATTATTATTTTTATTATTTTTTAGGTGACAGTAGATTTGGAATTTGAGTATTCTTATATAACTTGAGAGTTTGCGAAATATGCATGTTTATTCAATTATTTATTTTTTCCTGTTACTTCAAATGTACTATCACCAAGCAATTGATATCCTAAGATAGTATACCACTTTACACTTAGTTCTATGAGCTATTGTATATTTTTCAAATATAAATTGGATAAGTAAAAAATAATACGTAGTAATATTAACTCATTTTTTTAGATTATGATAACTAAGGAATGCTCTTTCAAATATGCAATATGCATGTAAATACATGTATGAAGGGCTGTGATGATTTTTGGCCTCTACTAATTTTGGGGCAGTTTGTGATCCCAAACTGTATCTTTGTGGTGCAAAGCGTAATGACGAGTACTGTATCCATGACAACTTTGGCTTCATATTGTTCTGAATGGAAACAAAGATCTGAGCTTCCACTGAAGAGTTATCTTCTGTATTGATACTAAATGCATTTTTTCGAGGATAGTTTTATCTTTAATTTAGCTTATGAGTGCAGGTCATGTTGACTGGCTTCATTGGGACTTGCTGTTGGATCTAATGTTGTCATGAATTTCAAATGTTTAGTGTCATTTTCAATGAGTTTCAATGTTTCATTTGTCATCTTTCCAAGTATTTTTTATTCTTTCTTTCCTCTTCTGAGTTAAATGTTTGCATGTTTATCATCTCTTAATGGTTGTTGGGTCACAGGTTGTAGAGGATTTGCTGGATCTTGACAATGCATGGTTTAAACCTTCCCACAACCCATTACAAGATCAAGAAGTTGTTCTTTTGATCCATATCTATTTTGAATGTGTGCGTTTAACAAGAGCCAAAGCTACCCAGGCTTGGAAAGAAGAGTTTTTGGGGATTGATAAAGTTGAAAACACAAGCACTTCAGGTTTCCAGATGTTGCTCTACATCCTTTTAGGCTCTTTTATTTCATTGGCTTATTGGCCTAATTGTTTAACACTAATATGAGATAATACAAATGTTTGAATTGTTGGCTTATTTGCCCTTATTATTGGGAGATTCAATTATATCCTGGCATCACTAATTATGAGAAGGAATAATAACATAAACCATGCAATTACTTTTAAAATAATTATGAATTTAATTTAGAACATTTGTAAAAGGAAATTGGATAGTGAAATCCGTAATTGAGAATCTCATTAATAACTTACAAAGTACGGAGTACTATATTTTATTCCGTGCAACGCACGGCTGAAAAATTTATTCTCATACAAATATAAAAGATACGGAGTAATAATGTTTGGCACCATGAGCACATGTTTTATGCATTCTTATTTTTCTTCGTTTTTAAGAGTGCTTTGTTTCTCTTCCTTAAAATAATTTATAGGGACGGTTCTCGTGACATAGCCTGGCAATGTGATCCGGGAGCGGTATGGTGCCGCGTTTGTAAATTTGACAGTTCTTATCCCATTTAACCTCCAGTAAACCCCCCACCTCGCCTCGACTCGAACACACTACACACCACCTTCAATTATACCCCAAAAGTTAATTTTGATTTTGGAGTCAGAATTAGGTAAACATATGAAAATCATAAAGGACCGCATTAGTAATTTTTGATTATTGAGGATTACTTTGGAAAAAATTGTATTAGAAAAGACCATTTTGAAAATTTACTCAAAGTATTTTGTCATATATGGTAAAAAGGATTATTTGGAGAATAATTTTAAAAAATTGGGGACTGTTTATGTAATATCTTATAATTGTGGAAAATTACATACTACCTCCGTCCCATTTTATAATGCCTGTTTCGGTTTACAATAGTTGCACCAAAATTACTTTTTAAAATTTATTACACTTTCGTGAAATAACGTAAAATAATTTACTTGGGATGAGAGGGGATAAAAATCTTTATCAATCTAGACAAATTTGTCTCCAATTGAAGAATTTTCAAAAAATTAAAATTGAACTCAACTAGTATAATTTTGGTGCAACTATTTTTTAGTAGACCACAACTAGAATTACTTTTTATTTTAGTCAAAACCAGGAAAATAAAAAATAAACAAGTTTTAACTTAAAAAAACTAGTTAACTGCCAAAGTCAAAATTAGTTTATATACTCCCTCCGTCCCAAATTATAATGTTTGTTTACTATTCACAGAGTCAAATTTTATTCACTTTCTTTCTCTATTTTTGTTACCAATTTGATAAAATAAAATATTGTTGTCACTACTAGTTTTGTAGATCTTTTGATATACTCGTAGTATTTTGATATGTAATTTTTATTTTTTAACTCTATACCATTTGTCATATAAAATGATTTGAAAATAACTTTAGTCAAACATCGTAAACCGAAACAGGCGTTATAAAATGGGACGGAGGGAACACATTTTATTAATTTTTACTGAATAAAAAATGATTCCACTTTTTTGTTTGACTACAAAAAAATCACTCCGAAGTTGTTCCGTTCAATTTGATTTTGTAAACTTTTTCATTAATACGTAGTAACAATGGATTAAATCAAAAATTTAAAAAAAAATGTTAAAAAGTGAAATTATTATAGGCAAATTATTGAAGGTGAAATTATTTTGCACAAAAATTGGGAATATTTTTGTTAATTTTGTTTTTATTATTTCATACTCTGTATAAGATTGAATGTAACACCCCGACATCCACCATAGCCGTAAGTTTCTGCTCATAGGATTGTAGACTGCCCCACAAACCAACACAAGTCTTTCTCGTGCAGTTTGTCCTCACTCGTGCGCGCCCAAGGATACTTTCCATGGGTCACCCATCCCAAAATTGCTCCAGGTTAAGCACGCTTAACTTTGTAGTTTCTAGGTGATGAGCTCTCGAAAAGAAAATGTACTTTGTTGATATAATAGTACTATCAATCTTTTTGAGCTCTTCTCATTCCATCTTAATTCAGGGTATTACATTCACCCCACTTAAGAATGCAACATCCTCGTTGCATCCTTTTTTTAAACCCTTAGATCTTCCCCGCTAGGTGAACTAAGCTCTTCTAGCCCGTCACGGTCGCAGAGTTGCTCTGAATCCTCTGATACCATTTGTAACACCCCGGCCCCCCACCCTAGCCGTAAGTGTCTGCTCAAGGATTGTAGACTGCCCCACAAACCAACACAAGTCTTTCCCGCACAGTTTGTCCTCACTCATGCATGCCCAATGATACTTCCCAGTGGGTCATCCATCCTAAAATTGCTCTAGATTAAGCATGCTTAAAAATGTGAGAAAAACTAAAGTAGGACTAAAACATTGAAAATATACTAAAATAGGACTTCCATGTTTTTATTCTCGAAATAGGATTTACATTATCAAAATGGTCATATACATTACCAAAAAAGTACTCCCTCCGTCCTAAAACTTTCTTCCCAGAACACTATTCCAACTTCACGGGAACTTATATTTATTTGTGTTTTTTCATGGCCTATATGATAAAATAAAATATTCTTGTCACCACTTGTTTTGTTGAACTTTTGATGTTGTTTTTAAATATGTATGTTTTATTTTTTTTTTCTATACCAATATTTAAATAAAATAGATTGAAAAAATTTGGGATTTTTCTTCATTTTGCGAACCGGGAAGAAAGTTTTAGGACGGAGGGAGTATAGTAATGTGCACATGTACACTGCCACAGTACCACATTGCAAAGTCACATTACCACAGTGCAAAGTCCTATTTCGAGAGAAAAAACATTAAAGTCATATTTTGGTACTTTACTCTATGTTTTAGTCCTATTTAAGGTGATTTCTATAACTTTTTGAAGTTTCTAGGTGATGGGCTCTCGAAAAGAATATGCACCTTGTTGGTATGCGTAGTACTATCAATCCTTTTAAGCTCTTCTCATTCCCATCTTAATTCGGGGTATTACATTGAAAATTATGAAAAATTTTCAAAATAGTACTCAATAACTATGTGTTTTTTCAAAATAAGTACTCAAGATGAATGAATTACCGATATATTACTCGTTAATTAAAAATAATAACCAGTTTAGTCCCCCGACTAACAGTTGTCAAAACACCGTTAAGTCAGCATTAAAACTTATACTAATTTTTCCAAATTGATCATCTATAATTGGATGTTTTTTCAAATTAGTTTGTTTTTGATGTAAAAGCTCTTTTAATATGAAAAACCAAAACATGATTCTTTCCTTTTAATTGATTTACGGTGTTTGAGCGAAGCTGGGAGACTATTTTTGTAAGTTTTTATTTCGAAAATTGACTAATTTTGAAGAAGATTTGATTAGAAATAATCATTTAAAAAATAAATATAGATTTTAATCTCGATTTGACACCATTTTGATGACGGTTAGTCGCGGTAAGTATTATTTTCAAGAATATTATCCTACAAATTACTCCCTCCGTCCCGGAGTATTCGTCCATTTTTTACTTTTGGAACTGTTCATCAAAGCACTTTGACTCATCAAATTCTCTCAAAGTGTAAGCCTAAACATAGTAATGTGTAATCTTATTTAAATTGTCTTAACATATAGATTATTAATATATAAATTTTATAATTTTTTAATATACAAATTATAAAATAAAATAGATTAAAGAAGTATATTCAATAGTGTGTAAAAATAAAAATGGACAAATAGTTAGTACAGAGTATTTTCAATTAAACGCATGGGAAGAGAAGCTCTACCCAAATTTTTTGCCCTAAGAAATGGAGCAGGCTTTTCAATGTCGCTAACAAGAAGCTCGGCAGCTCGCGTTGAATTCCCTTCCTCCTGAGTCCTGCAAAGCATCATGAATCTCTGAAAGCATCTCAGTGGAAGAAAATGGATTCTAAGAGAAGTGTCATTGCATTCTCCTTCTTCAACAAAATTGTTCGCCGGAGAAGAAGATCTGTGCCGTCTTCTGATCTCATATCCGTCAAAAAGGCAGCTGAAGCTGGTACTTCTTCGTCCTTCTTCTTTTCCTCACTTCGTTCATTGCACACTCTCCCAGAAGTTTTTTCTTCTTCACATAGAAATAGCGTTCATTCCGGATACGATTTCAATTCAGTACATGATTTAGACCAAGCCCATGAACTGTTCGATCAAATGCTTCGCGCACGACCATTTCCTTCTGTCGTTCAGTTCACCAAACTGCTTAGTAGAACTGTGAAAATGAAACATTATAGGGCTGCTGTTTGCATGCTTAGGGAAATGCGCATTCGGGGGATCCCTGTGGACGCTTATACCCTGAACATTCTGATTGAAGCCTTTTGTCTCTCAAATCGGGTGAATTGTGGGTTTTGTGTGCTTGGGATGTTCTTCAAGTGTGGAATTGATTTCAATGTGGTGACATTCAGCTCCCTGATCAAAGGTCTTTGTCGGGAAAATAAGATCGTTGAGGCCATAGAGCTATTCAAGAAGTTGGTTGGGGAGAAAGTCTGCCAAGTTGATAATTTCACTTATGCTACACTTATGAAGGGGCTTTGCAAGGCAGGTTATACTCAAACTGCTCTTGATTTACTCATACTTATGCAAATGGAGGGGCCTCAGCCTAATAACATAGCATATAACATTGTGATTGATTCTTTGTGCAAAGACGGAATGGTAGATAGGGCTCTTGGCCTTCTCCATCAGATGATAGAAAGAGGGGTTTCCCCGGACATCATCACATACAATTCATTGGTTCAAGGCCTTTGCAATTTTTGCCGATGGAAAGAGGTTACGAAGTTAATGAACCAGATGGTGCATCATAATGTATATCCGGATGTCTTTACCTTCAATATAATGGTGAATGCATTTTGCAAGGAGGGGAAGTTGAGTGAAACAGAAAGTGTTATTCAGCTCATGATTCAGAGAAACACTTATCCTAATGTGATCACATACAACACTTTAATTGACGGGTATTGCTTGCAACGGCAGATGGACAATGCTCAGAGAGCTCTTGGTCAGATGGTAGACAAAGGCATTCAGCCCGATCTTACGAGCTATAACACATTAATTAACGGATATTGCAAAAGAAAAGCAATCGATGAGGCCATGCATCTTTTTCATGAAATGCCTCAAAAGGGGCTCCATCCTGATGTTGTTACTTACACCACAATGTTGCAAGGGCTGTTTCTGGTGGGCCGATGTGATACTGCTTTAAATCTTTTTCAGGATATGCAATTGTCTGCACATGCACCTAATTTTCACACTTATTGTGTTTTACTTACGGGCTTATGCGTTAACGGACATATTGAAGAGGCAATGTCACTCTACAGTAAGTTTCGTGGTAACGGGAACGGCTCTCACGTTTTTGGTAGCATCATTATAGATGGGCTGTGCAAGACGGGACAACTCAATATTGCACGCGGTGTATTAAGTAACCTCATCTTTAAGGGCCAGCACATAAATGTTTATACATACAATGCAATGATAAATGGGCTCTGTCAAGAGGGGAAAACTGATGCAGCCCTAGACTTGTTCAGGAGAATGGGCGAGACAGATTGCTTACCGAATACTGTCACTTATACTATTATCTTGCAAGAATTAGTGAGAGTTAATAAATATCACGACGCAAATTTACTTTTGGATGAAATGGTGGGTAAGGGTGTATATCCTAATGGCCGCACATTGTCCTTGATGAATGACTTACTTGCACATAGACCTGGAGACAGCAGAGTACTGGAATTGGTACAGAAGATTGCAACAAATGTTGTAATTTAACTGCAAAATCTAACCAATGAGTTTTCCTTTATATTTTCACAAATCTCTCATGAAAGGATTTCAAAAAAATGCTCACAGATGCTCTGCCTTTGGGTATGGAAAGAGTGACAATACAGGAGCCTTGGATCTGCTTGGACAACATCAAAAGTTCAGGCAGAAAGAAAGGAGCTTTTAAATGGTCAAGGAAAGAACAGAAAGTATGACTTTGCAGACAAATGATGTTTTGAAGCTTGTAGATATATACTACGTATGTATTTTCCCTCTGAGATTATTTCCTCTATTAAGTGTCAAGGCTGTTAACCATTTGTTGCTGTCCTCAAAATAATAGCTTTGGCTTTGCTGCAAAGTTTTGTGATTTGAAGAAGTTTGGTTTCACTTTGGGTTTGTGGCTGTTGAGGGCATTTATTTTCTCACACCAGTGACTGATGAAGAATTAGATTAACATTTAGTTAACTGCCCATAAATGTAATATAGGGAGTAGTATCTAAGTAGAACCGATTTTTTTTTAGTTAAAAGGGTTAAATGTATTAGTCGATGGATGATTTTTGTTTTTGGTCTGTGTAATTTTTTTGTTAACTCATCTTTAGTTCTTAAATATAATTTGCACTTCTAATTTGTTGAGATAACATATTTATTTTATACTAAAATTTTAGTTTTACATTTCTACTATCTCCACATAATTCTCATGACCTAAAATCTTTCCTTATTTATATTATATCTCCAATTCCCAAATCTCAAATAATTTTAAAATTGCAGATGTAGTTCCATGAAGGACACGATCTATGCAGCGAGATCTATGTCTGAGTTAATTAAAAATGCAAGATTATGATATTGAGTATGTAATACATATCTTATGTAAACAAATTGAAAGTGCTAACTACATTTAAAGACCAACTAATAATATTTTTAGAATCAAATTAGATGATTTACTGGCGATAACTTTTATTTCATGCCCATTCAAGCCCAATTAGTGAGACTTTCCGGTGGTGACGTTTTTACCTACCACTAATTGTCCCCAAAAGATATGTCAAATCGTTTGTGCAGAATCTTTTACCCTACTATAATGTTGTACTATGGATATGTTTGAATTGAGTTGTTTTATTGTGATTCTAAGTTTTACTTGTTAAATGTATATGTTCTTATATATTTTCAATGGGCTCTTAGTAGGATGTCTTTCTTTTTACAAGGACGATACAACTCACTCTTTATATTTACCTTCTCCGGACACTACTCTATACCTAGAAGGATCCAATTCGATTGTTGTTGTTGTTGTATTAAAGTTAATAGAATAAATTCAAGCCTAAAGACCACAAAAGATTTTGTTATTTGAATTATAGCTTTTGAGATAAATTTTTGATTGTTTTAACTAATTTTACTGAATTTGATTGGTCAAACAACCAAACAGAGTGTTTGGTAATTGAATGCCGGAGGGAGTTATGGGTGTTCATCAGGCCAAACTTGGACCAGACCGGCCCAGCTTAGACCGGATGGAACCGGACTAAAGGTTGAATAAGGAAAAAGTGAGGATCGAAGACCAGACCGGAATTGGAATGGTCTGGTCCAATTTTGACCAAATTTTAGGTTGGATTGTGTCTCGATTGAATAATGCACACCCTTAGGTGGAGTTAGTCACACCACTAAACATTGAAAGTTTTTACATTTTATAACTTTCCTTAATCTCTCTGTCAAGTTAAAACGAGAAAGAAATTTTTGGACGAAGAGAGTACCGATTTTTTGTTCAAATCATTTTAAAATGGACAAAATTTTTCGCGTTGTTCAAAAGATGACAAATAATATTTGTCTTTTTTTGATTTTTTTGCAGTAAAAAATTATAAACCCTGAAAATTAATTAAATAAAATTTATATTACATATTAATATAATAAAAATTTCATTAGATTTAACTTGTAAAATATTTCGAAATTCTATTTTAACTAATTAATATTATATAACTTTTATTTAATTATAAGTCAAAAATTGTTATTAGAAAACCACCAAAATTAGATAAATATCGTGGAATAGAAGAAGAATAGTGAACAACCTTCCCCATGTTACGAGCTAAAATTGAATCTTAGGCGTAAGGATAAAGCTATTTGTACCCCAACTTTTGTACCCCACTTTGTACCCTGCAGGTTTGCACCAACACAAGTGTTGGTGTAAAACTAATTTTTGTTAATGCGCTAATACTTTGTGTCTGTGTAAATTTTTGTTAACGCACCAACACTTATGTCGGTGTAAACCATTAAAATGTTTGTGTATTACTGAGGTGTACAAATGGGATACGATTTGTGGTGTAAGTGTAGCGCCCATGGCTTAATTTTCAAATAACAATACTCTCATGTCTCGCAGCAACTAAAATAACTTATTTTTTCAATTCCTCCATTTTAATGGAATGGGATTCATTAGGAGAAACATCTCGTTTCCTGCATTTTCCTTCGCCAATACCATCGCCATTGTTGGTTCCAGAAGAAGAATTACGAGCAGCAGCTCCACATCATGTACTCCGGCGGTGATTCCGGCCGGAATTGCACCGGAAGCGACGGGTACTTCTTACTCGTTACTGCGTCCTTTTCAGTCTCACCCTGAAATTATTTCTTCTTCACATAGAAATCGCGTTCATTCCGGATACGATTTCAATTCAGTACATGATTTAGGCCAAGCCCATGAACTGTTCGATCAAATGCTTCGCGCGCAACCATTGCCTTATATTGTTCTGTTCAACAAATTGCTTGGTAGAGTTGTGAAAATGAAGTGTTATAGGGCTGCTGTTTGCATGTTTAGCGAAATGCGCCTTCGGGGTATCCCTGTGGACGCTTATACCCTAACCATTCTCATTGATGCATTATGCCTCTCAAATCGTGTGGATTTCGGGTTTTGTGTGCTTGGGTTGTTCTTCAAATCTGGAATTGATATCAATGTGGTGACTTTCACCAAACTGATCAAAGGTCTCTGTCTGGATAATAAGATTGTGGAGGCTGTAGAGCTATTCAAGAAGTTGGTTATGGAGGACGTTTGCCAAGTTAATATTTTCACCTATGCTGTACTAATGAAGGGGCTTTGCAAGGCAGGTTATACTCAAACTGCTCTTGATTTACTCATACTAATGCAAAAGGAGGGGCCTCAGCCTAACAACGTAGCATATAACATTGTGATTGATTCTTTGTGCAAAGACGGAATGGTTGATAGGCTCTTGGCCTTGTCCCTCAGATGACAGAACGAGGGATTTCCCCGGGCATCGTCACATACAATTCATTGATAAAAGGTCTTTGCAATTTTTGCCGATGGAAGGAGGTTACCAAGTTAATGAATGAGATGGTGCACCATGAGGTATATCCAGATGTCGTTACCTTCACTATAATGGTAGATGCTTTTTGCAAGGAGGGGAAGTTGAAAGATGCAGAAGCTATTATTCCAATCGTGATTCAAAGAAACATTTGTCCTGATGTCATCACATACAACCCATTGATTGAGGGGTACTGTTTGCAAGGGAAAATTGATGATGCTCGCAGAGTTCTTGGACAGATGGTAGACAAAGGCATTCGACCAAATCTTACAAACTATAACACGATAATTAATGGATATTGCAAAAGAAAAGCAATGGACGAGGCCATGCATCTTTTTCATGAAATGCCTCAAAAGGGGCTCCATCCTGATGCTGTTACTTACACCACAATGTTGCAAGGGCTTTTTCTGGTGGGCCGATGTGATGATGCTTTAAATCTCTTTCAGGATATGCAATTGTCTGCACATGCACCTGATTTTCACACGTATTGCGTCTTACTTACCGGTTTGTGCAATAACGGACATATTGAAGAGGCAATGTCACTCTACAGTAAGTTTCGTGGGAACGGGAACGGCTCTCACGTTTTTGGTAGCATCATTATAGATGGGCTGTGCAAGACGGGACAACTCAATATTGCACGCGGTGTATTAAGTAACCTCATCTTTAAGGGTCAGCACGTAAATGTTTATGCATACAATGCAATGATATATGGGCTCTGCCGAGAGGGATTAGTACATGAAGCCTTAGACCTTCTTAGGAGAATGGGCGAAACTGGTTGCTTACCGAATTCTTTCACTTACAATGTTATTTTGAAAGAATTTGTTAGAATGGAAAAAATGCACGAGGCAAATATGTTATTAGATGAAATGTCTAGCAAGTGCATTTCTCCAGACGTTTACACATTGACCTTGATGAATGACTTACTTGCATTTGGAGCAGGTAATGAAACAGTGCCGGAGGTGATTGGTAAATTCACAGCGAATGTTTTGATCTGACCATGTGTGTGGAGAATTTGGTCCTTGTTCTTCTGCTTAACAAATTCCTACTTCTAATGGATTACTTAATAATCCGCTCTTGAGTTACAACCGAAGAAGCGACGAATGTGTGAATGAATTCATTATTGGAGCGATTGGGGGAAGGGTTTGGGAGGTAATTTTTTGTAGCGAAGCACGAGGTATGGACTTGGTATTCCTATACCCGTGTCGGGTATTCATTCCTTAAATTGGCCACGTTTAATGGATGAAGAGCAAATTCTCCTTCCTAGTTGATAGCAGTAACAGACATAGACCAGCTTCCCACAAAGCCAAGGTAACAATTCCTTTATTTTCTCAAAGTGACATTTTTAAAACCACTAAATGTAATGAAAGATATTAGAGTAGCATTTCCTCTCTCCTTTATGGGACTACATTTTTTGTGTCTTTGGGCTAGTTTAACTGTCTGTCATTTTTCAACAAGTGTGTCTTATGTTTGATTTTCCCTAAACGCAGACAATAACTTCTGTATCCTTAAAACTTCCAAAAAAAAAAAAATCACCTGAATATTATTCTTTAACTGCAGCTACATTCATGCTCATGACAGCCTTCACAGGCTTTTCTTAAGATGAGAGCTTATTTGAAATGCAATCTCCTTGCAGTACTTTGATCCTTTTTTTTCCCCACGTTTTCTCGTGTTTTGCTTTATTTCCTAAATGGGTTTTGAATCTTATACATATTCATTCATATTTTATTTGGGCCAGTTCTGTTGCCACTTGCCACTGAGATTTTGAGCCACCTAACGGAGCTTCATTCACAAAATCTTGACTGGACCTGAACCCTCCCCCATCCATCCCCGTCAATTGGACCTCCCAACTTTAGTTGACTTTGGGCTCAAAAATTGACCCTTGTCAACTAAACTGGGAGGTAAAATTGACGGAGGTAGGGAGGTGGGTTGTCTTCAAGCTGGATGGAGGAACGAGGCATCCTGTGGTGTACTGAAACCTCCCATTTTATTTCCATATAAGAATGCACATAAACTTGATTAATTTCTTTATGCTCCAAATTTATACGGAGTATATGGGATGTGATTCATGCTAACTTGCCTTCCGGAGAGAGTTACATGTTATGAGTCCTATGAGTCTATGACTCCTATGAATAACTTAAGGGAGAAAGACCAAAGTAGGACTAAAACATTGAAAATATACTAAAATAGGACTTCCATGTTTTTATTCCCGAAATAGAACTTACATTACCAAACATGGTCATATACATTACCAAGAATGTATAGTAATTTGTACATGTACACTGCCACATTACCACAATGCAAAGTCACATTACCACAGTGCAAAGTCCTATTCCGGGAAAAAAACATGAAAGTCCTATTTTGGTACTTTTCTCTATGTTTTAGTCCTATTTAGGATGATTTCTAATAACTTAACACACATCTTTATGAAATTAAATTTAAAGTAAGTTTTACAAGTAGTCCTTTATAACATTAGAGTTTTTATATTTAGTCCTTTATTATTAGATATTATATTCTCAAACTTTTTTTTATGGCACCTTTCCATGAGCGTTCTTTTTTTAATATTTTGACATATTGGTGTTAAATTAAGAGATAAAAGTCCAGTGATGGACAATACAATAATAATGACTATGATTGCGAACTGAAATTCCAATAGAGACGACATTTGCAGACTAGGTTGCATTAGATAACAACTCTAGTTGACAAACAACGCATATGCACTGACCTCTGCATTAGATATGACTAGAAAGATATGTGACTATTGAGAAATTATACTTTAGATCTAATATTCTAATTTAACACTTAAAAAGATAAAGTAAAAAAAAGACTATTTGTGTAATATTTCATACTTTTAGCCCTTGTTTAACACTTAGAAACCTCATTTTAAATGACCAATTTTAGAATTTATTCTTGAATATATTAACAAGCTATTAAGTTCCAATTTATTTCATAGTAACATGCTTTGTTGCTAGTTTGATTATGATTGTAAGTAGAATTATTGGATGTTGGTCATGTTGCCATGCATTTCTCTTAATTGGAATGACATGGGGTTCGGTTCTATGCTAAAAGTTCAACCTAGTTCAATGCAATATATTTTTATTTAAACGTTTTTACATATTCTTAGATGCTCAAAAGTTCAACCTAGTTGGTCAATATTATGAATTGAATGTTTTTTTAATCTTTGATGCTTCTTTAAGTTTATTTGCATCCTAGCAAATTGATTAATTCAATAAAGGTTTGTTCTTTTCACCTTAATTTTAGCTGGAGTTTGAAATACAAAATTTAAAGTCTCGTAATTGAAGTATGGAGTCAGCAGTAAAATTAACTAAAATCTAGAAATTGGAGTTTGACATTTGTATAGAAAGAGGGGTTTCCCGAACACTATGACTTATTTTGTTATCTTGCAAGAACTAGTGAGAGTCAATAAATATCACGACGCAAGTTTGTAAGGGTGTATCTCTCGATGGTTGCACATTAGCCTTGATAAATGACTTGCTCGCACTTAGAACTCGAAACGAAGCAATGCTGAAGGTAATCCAGAAATTTGCAGGGTAACTTTAGAACAATATTAAATGTTCGTGCCGAAAGGCACTTTTTCAAAGTGAAGAAAGGGCTGATAGTAACGGTAGAAACGGTAGAAAACGTTGCAGACAAATGATGTGTTGAAGCTTGTGGACGCATATTGCACGGTCACGACATTTAACACGACATGCTTAACGTATTCCATAAGCTTGTAATTAACTTAAGATATTTACATTTAACTGATGAAGTCAGATATGTTTCTTTGTTAAGTGTTAAAACTATTCACCAAATGCAGTCCTCCAAGTGAAAGCTGGGTCTTTGCTGCAAAATGTATAACACCAGTGTGTGATGGAATTTTTCACCAATACTTAGAATTTAGTGAAATCTAGCAGTATGAAATCCTTTAGGAGTTGTTGTAAAGTTTTTCAAATGAAAAGAAAATTTTTAGATTTGAGGAGTATTAGGAAGTGTACCTCAATGTATGGTTTATGAGGTTTGGGGTGGGATCCTCTATACCAATTCCTCTATCCCACTCCTCTATCCATAGTTGAGGCATGGCCACAGCCCACATGTCCATTTTTATTCTCTTTTTTCTTTTTCTTTTTTTGTTTTGCTCCAATGCCCCTAATCCAAGCCCCTCCCCCTCTCACTCCTATTCAATTATAAATGCAAGCAAATTTAAAAAAAACACATAAAATATATTCCGATTTTATTGTCCAAATTAAATTAAAGCTTTGTTTCAAATAATAATAAATGAAATAAGAGTAATATTTATTTTGAAAAGCATTATAATTCCATAGTTGGAAATATAAAAATAAGCTTTTATTTCATTTGGAGTATAATTTTATTGCAATAAGAGTAATATGAAAAATTACATGAATAATTTTTAAATCAAACAGATCTTTAAGAAAAATAAAGACATAAAAAGTGTTCTGCTCCAAATGAAATTAGAGCTTTGTTATTTTATGTTCTATTTCTTAATTAATGTTCCTCAATGTAAATATTAAATAATATTCAAATATTAACACAAACAAATGTAAAAAATAAAATTATACTCCAAATGAAATAAAAGCTTATTTTTATATTTCCAACTATGGAATTATAATACTTTTCAATATAAATATTATTCTTATTTCATTTATTATTATTTGAAACAAAGCTTTAATTTAATTTGGACAATAAAACTGGAATATATTTTATGTGTTTTTTTAAAATTTGTTTGCATTTATAATTGAATAGGAGTGAGAGGGGGAAGGGGTTGGATTAGGGGGCATTGGAGCAAAACAAAAAAAAAAAAGAAAAAGAAAAAAGAGAATAAAAATGGACATGTGGCCATGTCTCAACTATGGGATAGAGGAGTGGGATAGAGGAATTGGTATAGAGGATCCCATCCCAGTTTATGACTTTATGGCTTTATAAAAAATTGTGAACATTCAATTTGACACATATTTTTGGGATAGTCTTTCCCCTACATTTGCAACAAATGCTTATTTTTGAGTAACTAAAAATTTATTTTTCAAAAATTTGATTATGTTTAAAAATAGATATTGAGTTATTTAAAAATGAGTATTCATTTACTCGAAAATCAGTATACGGATTTACAGGAAACATTGTACACCTAGATGTATGGTTTTAAAATCCGGTTCTAGTGTTGAACGAAAAATCATTTATTCCTTTGTGCAAAAAACATATGTCAAATTCTTTGTGCACAATTGCTTTATAATGCCATACAATAATACACTTCCTAATATTTCCCAATTTTGAAAATTTTCTTTTTATTTAAAAAATTTTGATCTCGATATTCAAAAATAAAATACTAAATAATGACATAAAAACCTTAGAGGAAATTAATGCAGTTTTTTTCATCTTTGAGGTTCCTATGTAGTCTACATATTACTGCACACTACGAGTTCGAAGTATGTAGATTCATCCCGAGTTCCTAATAGATCCAAATTACAATGCTTCTTTTGAAATAAGACATCTGTAAGTGATCTGATAAAAGAGTTAATTCAAAAAGTTAGATGCTATTGATGACAAAATTTTCATCTCACTTCTATATTGACTCAAGCTTTTTACCTTAAAATTCTAAAATCCCCATGGAAAAATAATAAATTTTCAACACATTTTAAAATCTCAAATTGATCCAATCATTTCTGTACATAAAATAAGGCTTGCTTTTAACTTTTGTTCGAGGCGAGCCTCATGCCTGTGTTCTACACTTCTACTGCAGTAGCAAATCCCAGCCAATGACTTCTTATTTCAATTCCTCAATTTTAATGGAATGGAAATAGTTCTTCACAAAATGGAAATTTGTAGGAGATGCGGGTCGTTTTCTGAATTTTCCTTCGTCAATTTCATAACCATTGTTGGTTCCAGAAGAAGAATTGTGAGTAGCAGCCCCACGCCATCTACTCTTATGGCGATTCCGGCCAGAATGGCACCGGCGGCGACGGGTACTTATTCTTCCCGCCGCCGATTTCACTCTCACCCTGAAATTATTTCTTCTGGACATCGATATCGCGTTCATTCTGGACACGATTTTAATTCAGTTCGTGATCTCGACCATGCCCGGGAACTGTTCGATCAAATGCTTCGCGCCCAGCCATTGCCTTCTATTGTTCAGTTCACCAAATTGCTTGGTAAAATTGTGAAAATGAAACATTATGGGGCTGCTGTTTGCTGGTTTAAAGAAATGCGCAACCGTGGTATCTCAGTGGATTCGTATGCCCTAACCATTCTGATTGATGCATTATGCCTCACAAATCAAGCGGATTGCGGGTTTTCTGTGCTTGGGTTGTTCTTCAAATGTGGGATTGAAGTCAGTGTGGTGACATTCAACACACTGATCAAAGGTCTTTGTCTGAATGATAGGATTGTGGAGGCCATAGAGCTATTCAAGAAGTTGGTTAGGGAGGAAGTTTGCCAAGTTGATAATTTCACTTATGCTATACTCATGAATGGGCTTTGCAAGGCAGGTTATACTCAAAATGCTCTTGATTTACTCATAGTAATGCAAAAGGAGGGGCCTAAGCCTAATAACGTAACATATAACACTGTAATTAATTCTTTGTGCAAAGATGGAATGGTTGATAAGGCTCTTGGCCTTCTCTCTCAGATGATAGAGAGAGGGGTTTCCCCGGGCATCTCTATATACAATTCTTTGATTCAAGGCCTTTGCAATTTCTGCCGATGGAAAGAGGCTACCAAGTTAATTAATGAGATGGTGGGTCATAATGTATATCCAGATGTCTTAACCTTCACTATATTGGTGGATGCTTTTTGCAAGGAGGGGAGGTTGAAAGATGCAGAATCTATTATTCAAATCATGATTCAAAGAAACACTTATCCTGATGTGATCACATACAACACATTGATTGAGGGGTATTGTTTGCTAGGGCAGATGGATGACGCTCAGAGAATTCTTGGTCAGATGGTAGACAACGGCGTTCGACCTAATGTTATGAACTATAACACACTAATTAATGGATATAGCAAAAGAAAAGTAATGGATAAGGCCATACATCTTTTTAATGAAATGCCTCAGAAAGGGCTTTTATCCCAATACGGTTACTTACACCACAGTGTTGCAAGGGCTGTTTCTTGTGGGTCGATGTGATGCTGCTTTAAATCTTTTTCAGGATATGAAACTGTCTGGACATGCACCTAAGTTTCACACTTATTGTGTCTTACTTACCGGTTTGTGTGATAATGGACATATTGAGGAGGCAATGTCGGTTTATAGTATGTTACTTAGCAACGGGAAGGGTTCTCATGTTTTTGGTAGCATCATGATAAATGGGTTGTGCAAGATGGGGCTACTCAGTATTGCACGTGGTGTATTGAGTAATCTCATCTTTAAAGGTCAACACCTAAATGTGCATGCATACACTGCAATGATAAATGGGCTATGTCGAGAGGGATTAGTACATGAAGCCTTAGACCTTCTTAGGAGAATGGGCGAAACTGATTGCTTACCGGATTCATTCACTTACAATGTTATTTTGAAAGAATTTGTTAGAATGAGAAAAATTCACGAGGCAAATATGTTGTTAGATGAAATGTCCAGCAAGTGCATTTCTCCCGACAATCACACATTGACCTTGATCAATGAGTTGCTTGCATTTGGAACAGGAAATGAACCAGTGCCAAAGGTGATCCGAAAATTTGCAGCAAATGTCTTAATCTGACTGTGTGTGTGGAGATTTTTGACCTTGTTCTTCTGCTTAATTAAAATTCATACTTCTGGTGGATTGCTCAATAATCCGCTCTTGAGTTACAACCGAAGAAGTGACGAATGTGTGAACGAATTCAATTTTGGAGTGATTGGGGGAAGGGTTTGGGAGGTAATTTTTTGTAACGAATCACGAGGTATGGACTTGGTATTCCTATACCTGTTGGGTACTCATTTCTTAAATGGGACACGGCTAACGGATGAAGAGCAGAAGTAACAGACATAGACCAGCTTCCCACAAAGCCAAGGTAACAATTCCTTTAATGTTTCAAAGTAACCTTTTTAAAACCACTAAAAGTAATGAAAGATATTAGAGGAGCATTTCCCCCCTCGTTTATGGCACTACAGTTTTTGTGTCTGTGTGCTAGTTCAACTGTCTGTTCTTATTTTCAACAAATGTGTCTTATGTTTGATTTCCCCCCCTAACTCCTCTGCCCCCCAAGTTTAGTTTGTACATATACGAGTACATGTTCATTCATATTTTATTTGGGCACGGTTTTGTTGCAACTGAGATTTTGAGGCACCAAACGGAGATTCATTTGTAAAATTGATAGTTCCTACCCATACCTCCTTGGTAAACCTCCCATCTCGACTGGATCTGAATGCTTCCCGCCTCACCCGCATCAATTGGACCTCCCAAATTTAGTTGATTTTGGGTTAAAAAATTTGACTCCAAAGTCAATTAAACTTGGGGGTCCAATTGACGGAGTTAGGGAGGTGGGTTTAGGTCAGGACGGGGTGACAGGTGAGAGTTTATAGGGGTTAGGGTTTAGAAACCATCAATTTTACAAACGGAGTTGCCAACTGTGCAACCACCCGTTGATGATTTGTGTTTAATTTAAGCAGGTTGGGTTCAAATATTTTTTATCCCCTTCGACCAAAATAAGTATCTTTCTCCTCACTACTCACATGGTCAAATTTTACACTTTGTTGGTCTACTTTCAATGCTTATTTGATAAAGTAATATTGGCATGTTTCCTCTATTTTTATAAATCTTTTGATTCCATTTTTTAAATATGTAATCTTCTTTAATTCCTCACAATATAAAACTATTTGGATATAACTTTCATCAAACATACTACTTTTAGGATCCAAATGACACTTGGGGTGAGTGATTGTAGTATTGTACATCACCATCCTACCGTCCTTTGTTTTATAAAGTTCTTTGTTGTCAATCTACGATCAAAGTTTAATTTATTTTTTTTTGTGACTGTCTGGTCGGATCTGAAGGGAAAATAATGTTCTTTCTTTAAACAAAAATAATATGAGCAATGCTAGGGGTACACCAAAAAGTGTACCCCAAATGTACACCACCCCCTCTCCAACACATATTTTTATTTGATTTTTATTTACTTATTTTTTTTAAAATTTTTTTTGCCTTTTTTTAGTGGACAAGGAGGGGGTGGGGGAGATATGTAATACACCTTTGGTCCCCTAGCATTTTTCAAATAATATTGGGCCAAAAGAAAAGAAAAACTACTACTACTACTACATTTATTTTAAGACCATAATTTGACTGAAGTAGTTGAGATCATTGAATTCGCTCAGTCCTTGTCTAAAATAATTGCATTAAATATTTGACTATATCTGCACTAAAAACAAAATCCAATTTGTATAAAAGTAATCCCACGTAGGGGTGAGCAAGAACCGAACCGATACCGAAATTTCTCGAAAAAATTGAGAATACCGAACCGAAAAATACCGAACCGAAAAATTACCGAGAAGAAATCGAACCATACCAAACCGAATGGTCGGTACGGTATTCGGGAACGGTACGAGGTGACCTTCCATATCAAAAATCCCGTACCGAACATATATACTAAAATATTATAAAAAATAATACTCCGGAGTAATATTTTTATATTCCTTCACTAAATAATAATTTTCTTAAAAAAATTAGGTTCAAGTTATATGATGTGTAAATTATACTTTTATTTGAGTTTTAATTTTTATGTATGAACATAAAAATATTCACAATGATTCGAAATACTCCTTTGTTGTCATTCATTTTTTTAGTTTGTGAAATATAAACTAAGTTTTGATATGTATCTCTTGCATTTAAATATTCATTTTTGTAATTTTTCATATTTTTTTATTTAAATTCACTTTTAATTTTCAAAAATAAAGGGGTATTGTTAAATTTTAACGTGTAAACTAGGTATATATATATTTATCCCGATTTGTACCGAAACCGATACCGAACCATCCCGAACCATACCGAACTGATATTTCGGGATCGGGATCGGTACGGAGTAAAATCTCATACCGAACTGAAATATTTGGTACGGTATCGATACGAGCTAAATACCGTTCCATGCTCACCCCTAATCCCACGTACTATCCGAAAGATGGCTCCTATACCAAGACTATGAATATACCCTCCAATCCATTTTGAACTTGAATAATACGTAAAATAAAAATTGCATGAAATTAAGATGGACTGCTCTACACAATTCAGAGGAAATAACAATAATACGGAGTATATAATAATAATAATAATAATAATAATAATAATAATAATAATAATAATAATAATAATATATTCCATCCATCTCTAAATAGATTACAATTTTTTTTTCTCGCTCTTCTCGATAACTTTTGATAAAATAAAATATTCTTATCACCTCTTGTTTTGTATAACTTTTGACGTAGTTTTTTAATATACAATTTTTATTTCTTATTGATATACCAATTTGTAAATAAAATAATTTTTAAAAATAGGAAATTTTACTCCGTAACCCGCAATTTATAATCAAATTGGGGACGGAGGGAGTATAATAATAATAATAATAATAATAATAATAATAATAATAATAATAATGATAATGATAATGATAATGATAATGATAATGATAATGATAATAATAATAATAATAATAATAATAATACTAATAATAATAATAATAATAATAATCATCATCATCATAAACGATATTGATGATGATGATGATGATGATGATGATGATGATGATGATGATGATAATAATAATAATAAGCACTCAATAATAATAATAATAATAATAATAATAATAATAATAATAATAATACTAATAATAATCCGTAATAGAATAGGAGGGGATTTTTTCAAACAAGCCAAGTGATGTGTTAAGAACTTTTTTGAAAATCGAAACAATGGCGAAGTGGATTACGGCAACAAAAGTGAGTGGGACATCATAATATAAAGGTTTTTAGTAATAATAATAAAATTACACTAGTTGATAAATTTTTAGTTTTGACATAATTTTTTAAATATTACTCCCAAAAAAAGTTTCTGTTTTATTTTTTGTGAATCTTGTAAAACATTTTTACTCGCATTCAACAACAACAACAACCCAGTTGAATCCCATTACAGTAGGGTCTTGGGAGGGTGTGTGTACGCAGACCTTGCCCCTATTCGGGAGTAGGGAGGCTGTTTCCAAAAGACCCCCGACTCAACCTGCACAAAAATATGGAAGGAAACACAGTATAACACGGGTAAAGAGCCAAGTACAAGCAATAGCAAAAGATTCCAAACAAACACAACATACTACAAACAACCTCTATAACACTGAGCTCCTATCCAGCTACTCTAATCCTAGTTCTCCAAAGATTCCTATCTAAGGCCATATCCTCAGTCAGGGTGAGAGTTCCTAAATCCTGCCTAATCACCTCCCTAATTCCACATCTTTCCTTTATCGTGAGTATGGGTATTTTGAAAGTATTTTTTTGGTATTTGAGACTTGATAGAATTTTCTTTTTGGAATGTTCAAAAAATGTAACAGGAATATCTTTTAAGGACTATCAAGGGAGTACATTGTACGCAGATGCGGTCCAAAATTAGGTTCCATTTAACATCAGCATTTGAGATTAGTCTGTAACTCTCCGACAGTAGACTTAAGCATTAGCATTTTTAGAATTAATCTATACGATTAAAATTTTATTCAAAATGCTAACACTAATCGAAAATATTAATCCTAAATAAGGCCTTAATCATAATAAGGACAAAATGTCTTTCCTAAAAAAGTGATCGAGAATTTACAAATGGTTGGGATTAATTTAAATATTCCAAAAAGAAAATTAAATAAAAAAGGTAAAGTCGACTGGAGAGGAACTAATTAAGTTTTCCTCGTCGGAATGTCAAAGAAGGTGGAAAAATCATTAACATCTTTGTTGACAAATCGGACAATATATGTTTTCTATTGGCTATTTTTATTCGGCCCCGTTCCATGGCCACTGGATTCCAGTGGCCATGGAACCGGGCCGATTTTTATTAGCCATAGGAATGATATTTTTTGTGTATTATTA